GGTGTCCAGACTCCATTAAAATATAACTGAAGCTGGAACATAACTCTCCCAGTCTTTTCTGATAAACTTAGTTCAGAAAAAGTTCATGTGGCTGATAGCCTTGAACATTCATAGTTCCACTATCAGCTTCAGCCTTGACATGAAAGAACTTGGAAGCCACGGAAACCACTTCTTTAGCATTAGTCCCATGAGACTTGTGACAGCAAAACTTCACACTAGGGGAGGATAGGGAGCGGTACAATAACTGCTAACGACATCATTTTCCACAAAACCAATTTTAATCTGCCGTTTAGGCACTTGCAAATGGCCTTAAATAGCTCTTGCCGCTGAAGAAGCTCATTGGAAGTGCTGTTCAGCAACGCACTTAAACATCTGCACCTTCATTTAATTGTTCTACAAGATATGTTTAGGTCAATCTTCAAAAGTTGCTGTGTCTAATGTTTCTGCTCCCCCCTTCAGTAGTAGAGGAGGAGTAGGGGGAGGAACAGCTGTGTGCTCTCCCAGGCTTCACTCTCAGACTAAGCGTTGTTCAGTAATTGTACAAATACGAGGCTGTGCAGATGCTCATACTGTGATTTTTTTCCTTTCTTGTGTATTTTGATCAGCAGAACGTTAGGCTGTGGTTTAGTCTGCAGTTTGTATAGATTATGACACAGTCTCCTGGAATGTAGTACTGGGGTTCAACTCTTGTTTCCTGCAAAAACTGGCAGAAGTTTGCGAACTGATGATAGGAGTCAAACCAGTGGGATGATACTGACAGTAGTAAATTTATTAATGCCTTTTTCTACAAAGCCATATCAAAATAAACATGTTTTTGTTCAGCAATGGAGAAGGAAGCAGTAAAATCGATGATGATCTGCTGTATGTATGTAATTCATTCTGGAGAAATAGAAACAGGTAAGGCAGAGTGGAAGTAGAGATGTACTCCCACTTGCTTTTTGTTTTTCCTGCCAGTGACTACGTGGTGGAAGACATCTCTGTTGCCACTTTGGTACACTTTTTTGTTTCTGCTGATTTCCATCAGAGTGGACTCTTGCCTACACATGCAGAGATATCCTTGTAAACCCTAAGGGGCTTTATAACGTAGTTACAACCCAGTGTTACATCTGTGTGTCACAGATGGCTGTGATGTACCAAGGCATTGCTGCAGATACTGGTTTGATGTAGGACCAGCTCCTTGAACAGAAGTTCATTCTTAATAAACCTGTGGGGAATATCTAGAGTATCTTTCTGGAAATTAGGGAAGGTTTCTTCTAGACACATTTTCTTCCTAGAAATCAGGAGCATTTCGTTATTCCATTAATGGAATGTTAAATATTATGTCCACGTTTTGTGACCTTAATCTTCAGCTTGTTCCCAGGCTTGGTAGTGTATTAATTGTAGTGCAGGAGGTACATCCTCCTGGCTAGCTCATCAAGAGGGTAATGTCAGCAGTATTCCCATCCCACCCTCATTTAAACAAAAGAAGTATTTCTGTTGCCATGGATCATCGGAGAGAGAGTGTGCCTCGTGTACAGGAGGGAGGACAGAGGAGGGGAAGCTGTGAATGGTGGTCTGAGAAGCAGTGGGCTGGGTAAGGAGACTGGACCTGGCTGCTTGCTGGGTGTGGCAGACTGGGACTTGGAGAGTTAGGAGAGAAGATCAGGAAGGGCTCAGCAAGAACAGGAGTGGACTGTGGCCAGGGTGGGAGAGTATGTAAAAGCGGTCCCTTAAGCATGCTTGTAAAGTCCAGAACCTAGCTTTGCTGCATCTTGCTGTTTTTCTGCCTTTTTTTGGCTGTGGAACTTGCTGACTAGTGCCGCATCTCTCTCTAGTGCTTGTCTGGCATTAGCAGGTACTGCATCAACTTTCATACAAGTGTGGATGTCTCAGTTTTGCTGTGATTTCTGTCAGTACTGATACAGATGGAAAGTCTGTTCTGCAGTTTTTTATAAGCCATTGTGTGTATATTATCTATAAACTGTGTGGTACACAGAAATCAAGCAAAAAGAAATTACCCAGTGATCAAAGTCACACTGGAAGGGGATGCCAGTGGGGGTCTGCGTTAGCATGGTTTCTCCATGGTTCGCTAATGCATGTGTGTTGTATGCAGTCATCCCATTGCACCCATTGCATCACAACTTTTCCAAATGGGTTCGTTCCCAACAGACCTGCCTGAGGTATAAATCAAGTCTGTATGGAAAAGGGACTGCTCTTTTGCCAGCTGGGTCTCCACTTTGTGCCTCAAAGCTGAAAGATGCACAGGGAGTGAGGCTGGAAAGCATGGGATAAGGATGCTGTGAAGTTTCAGGCAGGTGAATGCTGCTCTCTAGAAATGGATCCTGGCCTCCCACTGACAAGAGCTCCTCTGGGATGTGAGGCAAGTCAGAAAAACTTGATCTCTATAAACAGTATAAATTATATCTTCCTCGTTGGCTAAACAGAGGTGTCGTGGAAGATGTGTTTGAACATAAAATACTCTGGAAAACTCAGAGTCCAGAGAAATGAAATTAGGCACCCAAACCTCTTGGCCTTAATCTACTTACACAGTTCTCCTTTTCCTGCAGTAATATTTTGAAGCTGAACTCAGTTGCGTGCTTCCAGAGTGTTTTAATAGTGTACACTGAAGAGCACCAGCCCCCGAGGGATGGTTTGCTGCAAATGAGGCACTGGAGAGCTCTGTGGAGCAGCAAGGAGAGAACAAAATATTGAGCAGTTGACTCCTGAAGTGGGGAGGGAGTGCTTCTGCTCTGGAAAATGTCAGCTAAGGACTGTGCCAGTGCAGGGATGCAGCAGGTACATCTGGGTTTACTGAAAGCCCAGGGGATGCCACCTCAAGGACACAGGTGACCAGAGCCCTCCCCTCCACTCAACATCGTGTCCTGTGTGGGGAGAGATGCTGTGCAGCCTTTGCTGTTAGGCTGCATCTAGCCCTAGTCACAGGGGGCTGTCTGGCTCTATTAGTGTGCTCCTGATCAAATTCAGAGGAAATTGGGTAATTCTTCTGTTTTGGTGATACAACAACAAAGGCAAGGGCTGAGGATGTTCGTGTTGCTCTGTGAGGAGCAAGGTCTCTTTCCTCCTGTGGGAAGGCTCCAGAGTTGAGGCACTGCTTTGCATGACTGCTTAATTTTAAGCCACTGTGATTTTTAGCAGAGTATTTGGCATCTAGGCACAGCACGGATCTCTTAGGAGCCACCCCAACAAAACCTACTGTACCTTTTGACAGAAGTAGGTGACGTGTTTATTTTTTAGCAATAGGTAAAAAACATGCATCCATAATCTGTTACTGGTTACGGGCTGTGACTTCAGAGGTGTGTGGCATGGCAGCCTCGGTATGTAGCCATGTGAATGATGTGGCGCCGTTTAAAACTCAAATGTGTGGATTGGGCTTGTTTCTTCCTAAAGCATTCATTCCAGGCTGCAGCAGCTGGGTGTACATCTGTATTCTCTGGGTGTGCTTGCACTTGCAGTGAAAGACAAACATGTAATTGAGTATAGGATGTAGAATCCTTTTTCTTTATTATTATTATAGAGAACTCTTCAAATGGACTATGAAGGATAAAAGGGTAATTTCACACCTGAAACAAAAAAAATTAGTTATGATCACTTTTTCTTGTTCATGTTTTAGAGGTATGGGTTTGTAAATGGTCTGAATTATTAGGTTGCACTTAGTTGTTAGACACACTGCAGAGGCTTTGGGTCTGTTCACATGAAATTATCCTGTTCAAAACTGAAAGTAGTCAATACACCCGTGATCTTTCTTCTTTGTTGCCCACCCTGATTTTTTCTGATACATTAATTCTTGCTTGTAATCAAGTCCAGCAGAATAGGCTGCAGTAGAAAAGCTACTGTTTAAAAATCCTGCCAAGAACTTCTATTCCAGTTCTGAGCAGAAACCTGGAACTGCAGGTTTTAAAGATGTAGACCTTCTTTAGATCACTGCAAATCACTACTCCACTGAGGATGACAGGATTTAAATCCCACCCCCACCCCCACTTATAACTGAGATAAAAATTGTGGTTTCGAGTGATTTTTTTAAAAAAACACCATGTTATAAAATTCCACAGAAAATGTTTCAAAGCTGCTCAGAATTTAAGGAAAGTTAATACTTTCAGATGCATTTGAGAAAAATCTCATTTACCTGATTTTGCACCTAATGTACCACTAAAGTTAATGAGATGTAAGCTCTTAAGTAAGTCATTTAGTTGCTTTTGAAAATTTTACTGAATGATGAATTCCAGATTTTCCAAAGTATTTATTTTCAGGTATTTCAAAAACTGTTATGACTCTTTTATTATGATTCAGCATTCCTTTGGTCTACTTTACATAAATATACAACAGTACAAATTTTATGGTAAATCTTCTTTACCTTACTAGAAAGAAAAATCAGTCTTTTGTTGCTTTCATACCAGTAGAAAAAAATAACAGAGGTCATAATGTGCTCGCAAATAAGGGCTGATAGAGAACTGGAGTGGAGAGACATGGGAAGACGTTTGGGGTTTTGCTAAGTGGAAGTGAAAGTTCTGTGCATTAGCAGTGAACGGGGAGGCGGCTGGGTAGCACGTAAGCACTGCCTGCTGCAGTCGCATTCTTGATCTGACTCCTCCTGACAGTCAACAGCAATTGAGGGCTCCGAAGGGAACCGGCTGAAAGAAAAATAGGGTAAGAATTAGGTGAAGGGAGAATGGCTGGCAGGGAAGCAGGTAGCTGCGAAGTTAAATACAAATTAGAAATCCTTTAGTGTAATCTCTTCCGATCTCGTGATGACCAAGGCTGTAAAGGATCTGCCCTTGAATGACAGAAGGGCATGGGGCAGGATGAGACCGGGGAAAGGCTGACTACAGAGCAAACATATGAGGGGTGGGTGGATAAATGCTCTTGAACGTAAAAAAATCACAATAGTTGGAAAGAGCAGAAAGGAGATTAAAAGGTTGGCAGTTCAGGGGAAACACAAAACATTCACTTCTGTATGATACTGCACAGAAATGTTATCTAGAGGGGTTGGTAGCGGTAGTGTCTTTTTTGCAGGGGCACAGTGCCGGTATTTTAACAAGGGCCATGGGTAACAGCATTTGCTATCTCCAGCTCAGGCACTCAGGGTTTTCCTGAAGAAAGAAGCTCAATGGTAGCACGTTCACCTTGCCCTTTGGTCTTGGGTTTTCCATAGCTGTGGGCGCGGGGGCTGCGGTGGTTGGCACGGTGAGCGTGAGAAGGCAAATTCCAGTTGCAGCAGAAATTCATGATGTTCATTTGGGCGGTGGGTCGTGGTGCAGGATCACAGTGTAACAAACAGCTACTCAGAGTGCGTTGAGTGGGTTGTGGAACAGCTCCTCCGGCACTGATCCCACGCCCCTGTGTGCTTTTCCACCAGGGCTTGCCCATCATGTACACATCCATCGTGAGGCTTTGCAGGGTGCTGAGATGATTAGATATGCCCCAAGTGAACCGTCCTGTTCCCATACAGGGTGCGTCAGCTGAGGTGGAGATGTTGCAGAAGTAGCCCCCAGCTGCTTATCCCACTTAATTTCAGGAATTTCATTGCAGTGGTTTGTTCTCGGTCTCGTTTTCAAGGTTGCCAGCACAAAGCAAAAGGAGTTGCCTAATCAGAACTCAAAAAGATACTCCTTTTATCACTTAGGTCCCAGCTTGTCAGTGGCAGTAGGGCCACTGGATCTCAGGTTTGCTGACCTATTTCAACTTTTAACCCATTTATGAAATCAGTGCTCCAAACTGTTGGCCTTTTCATAACCTTCTTTTAGTAACTAAATGAGTATGTATTCATGAGGCAGAGCTGGAAGGCAGATCGTAGCTCTGTGAGCGTATCCATGTATTTATGCACTTTATTCCAAGACCATGTCCAGCATGAGTCTTGGTTCATGGGTGAAAATATCCTCTCTCGATCCAATAGGATGTTATGATTTAGGTGAGGAAATGAAAAGTGGATTTAGCTGGAATACTGCATACCACACTTGAGTGAGCTATGTTCTCTTCAGGGGACTGAAATATTTTATTATTAGGCAACCAACTGGAAGTAACGCTGCAGCAGTTTAGCTGGGTATGAAATATCTACTCTTACACAGCATTTCTAAACTGTTAGCCGAATGAAAGATAATGTTTTTTCACATACTGTTTCGAAGTGGCCAGTCTCAATCTCTGTTTCTGAGCAAACAGGGGCTGTGTTTTCATCGTCAGTGAATAGTAGATGCAAATACATTTTGAAGGCAATTAGGCATTTTTATTTTTGCTCACAATAAACTGCAAGCACAAAATTGCTAGCACAAGTTTGAAGGTTATTTACTAAGATTATATGTCACATATGATTAATCTCTTACCCACTTTCTCTTATTAGCAAAATTTTAAATTTCCAGGGGATCTGCACAGATTTCTAAGGGATCAGATTACATGGCTGAAAATAGTTATGACTGGTGGCTGTGTGTGCAGAATGTATTGCAGTAACTAGGTGGTTCTTGCTGCTCAGCTGGTCTCAGGTAACATGCATCTCTCCCAGCAACATCAGCTACCCTGAAATACTGTGGATCAGTGCATCCTGGAGAAGTGTATGGCTGTCATATGGCCACTTTCTCCTGCTCTTCTTCACCAGCATTGCTCTAATAAGATAACGAATGACATCAAACTGCCAAACAGATCTGCAGGGAGCAGAAGGCCTGTTATTTCCCCATTGGAAAGGAACATGCTAAACATTGCTTCCCTTCCTGTGCCCCCCCGCTGCTGTTGGCGGTTGCCGATCAAACTGTGAGTGCTGCTTTGTCCTCCTCTGTGGCCACATGTCCCTGCCACCTTCTTTTTTGACAGTGCTTCTGAAACTGCCTGAACTGCAGGAGATCCAGGTGAAAACACATCCAAGCCACATACGCACCAGAGCAAAGGCCTCGGTGTGGTCTGTCTGCACCAGCAGGCACTGGTTGGTATGAGCATGTTCAGGAGGCAGACAGATCTCAAACTTGTAATTGAGGATGGGGAGTGGGGACAGGGAGGAGGAAGAGCAGGATGGCTGTTCTGGAGGACAACCCCATGCTTAGGTTAGCTTACAGAGAACAATGAGCCAGCACCTTGGACCCAAAGTGATGCGTTCTTCCACAAGTCTGATGGGAGGTGCAGGGAGAGCACCGTGGGCTTCACGGGATTTTTGTTACTGAGTATTTACGGTATAGCTCTACAAGTGCTGCAGGAAACTGAGATGATGGAGAAGGAAGCTCACGCTGCACCATCTGACACCTGTTCAATTAATTATTTTCTAAAGATGATTTTATGATGTCATGTAAGTTGGAAGCCATAATTTTGCTGTCAACCTTGTCCTCAGTGTCCTTTTCTCTGAAAAAAGTAGAGTGAATGAATGTTCACAGCATAAGAGATCTCAGTTTTAATACACCACGCCTGCTATAACAATAGAGGCAGTTTTAAGGTCAGAATAGCATATAGACAAGATGATAATTATTGCTCTGAAGTTCTTCTGGAGAAGAAGGCAAGAGGAAATTTTCCATTAACATCAGAAACAAATACAGGAGAAGGTGACAAATAAATGCTTGCACCATGTTACTTCTCCATGATCAAAAGACACTTGCCCTAATCCCAACATCTAATTGTCACATGATTAAAAATGTATGAGATCTCATGAACATATAAAAGATTGTGTACAGCAGCATAAGTACTTCATTTAAATGCATAATTAATTGCTTCACTTGGCTTTATGTTGAAATGCAAGATCAACAAGGCAGGCATCTAAGAGACGTACTGAAGTTTTTGCACCAAAGCAGCTTATTAGTGAAGCTATGCTGATAACTTTTCCACTTTTAGGCAGCTGGCTGAAGGGCAAAAAGAAGCTATCTGTAAATCTGGGGGGTGGTCTTCGGTATATTTGAGACGCTACCGAGTTAAAAAACTTCAAACAACCCCAAGACACAGGCACATCCATTATTCCAACAATTAACTTTTACTTACCAATAATGTATTTGGTATGCAAAAACATTTTAAAAGTTGCACATTGATAGGGGTCATAAAGTGTAGAAAATCCTGTGCTTGCTGATTAGGTACCTAGTGTAAGTGTGACCATGTACCTCACCAGAAACCCACCCTGCTTGTGACTTGTGTGCAGTCCCTGCAGAGAACTTCCATGGATTCAGAAAAGACAAGGTACAAAGCTTCTGTAGGTTCGACTGTAAATTATGCATTTATATCATACCCAGTGCACACATAGAAACACCACTGCTTTCTGAGAGTTTGTACTTTTACCATATTAATTCAGTAAAATCCTTAGAGTACTGGTTAATTGTAAAGAATACAGTTCAGTATTGGACCCAAACATTAGTGTCTAGTTAGTTTTAGCTATCTTAATTTCTGCTTTAGATGGAACATTAACCCAATTCACTTTTTTTTTTTTTTTTTTTTTTTTTTTTTTAAGTATATGCCAGGATTCAACTGTTTTATTTCAGTTTGGTAGCACTGAGTTGTTTTTTTTGTCCTAACTGATTGTAATGACAGCTAAATGTCAGCTTCATTTATATCTTAGCTCAGAATACAAACAGAAAATATACAAAAAGGAAGTTTTGTTACACCCTCTGTGAATTATTTTTGCTGTGTACCTTATGCCAAACAGTTTTGATTCTGCATGTGACTTACAGTCCAAAAGCCGTACTGATACATTTTTCTGATTAAATTATTTTCAATATTTTGCATATAGTGCAGAAAAAACACTATTAAAATAAATGCGTACCAAAAAAAAAAAAAAGGAACTTTGTTGAAACGTAATTCCATCAAGAAAAAAAACCACAATATTTTTATATAACATTTTGGATATATTTTATGTCAAAACATGATCACCAGTCAAACTAGTGACATCTAAACCCAATACATTATTGTGACTTCTAAAATAAAAAATCAGAACAAAACTAAATTTATTATAGCTCTGCCTTCATTAAACACCATGTGTTGGTGATTTAAACACAACAAAAGTCTAGTATTCTTCAAAAGTGTCTACTAAATATAATAAAAAGAATAAGAGAACAATTAACATTTAGTCTGTTACATTAAAAAATTGGATGTACATATTTCTATTGCCTGTTAGCTTTACCTAAGTCTTTTCAACTACTACAAAAATAAAAAGAAAAAAAGAAAACTCATTGTTCAAAGTCAAAAACATTCAGATCAGTTGATACAACATTACAGTACAGTCAACTAACATCATTCAAGGTCTCCTTTTCTCTGTGTATGAGTCCTTAGACCAAAGTTACAAACCCAGTTCAATGCAGTTTCAAAACTGTATGTTAGCTTTGCAAGATACTGTACTCTACTGATGGCTTCAGAAGAATGGGGTTGTGCTACTTTTGAATCACAGGGTAACCCCAGCCTCTCATTAATTTTATTCAGCACTGTAGTTAGAACAGCATTAAGTTTAGCACAATAACTAAAAAAAAAAAGGAGGGGGAAAAAAAAAAAAAGAATTGGAAGCTAGGTGAAGCTGCCATTTGTGTCAAACAATTGCGATACGCTATACTAAAAAATTCTGAAATATCCACCTGTCCTCACCGCTCTGCCACAAACTAGCAAAGTCAAAAATACAAAAGTCTTCAACTTCTCGTTTTTGCAGAATAAAGCAAAAAAGTCTTTGTGCTCCTTACTACCAGAAGCAAAATATCCTCTGAGTTACCACATGTAATAGCTTCTGGATGTGTCGACTTGGGTTGGCTTGGTCTCTGCAGAACCATCCTTGTCTTTTTCACTGTCACCTTCCCAGAGATTAATAAGTGGAGGGTAGAGCTCATTCAGTGGGATTGAAGAGGTCTTTTGCATATATTTTTTCAAGGAGTGGTGGTAGTTTTTTCTCTTAAATCTTTTTGCAATATAAACAGAAATGGAGGCGAGGCTAATGACAGCAAACATGGATCCCATTACTGCTGCGAGGGCAGTGCTGGTTTCTTGGTCTGAAATATCTAGCGCAAAAGCTGCATTTTTTGTTGTAACGTTAACACAGGACTTCTGTGTTTGCTGATGGATACTTGACACTGTTAGACACACTTCATAATCTGTGGATGGTTGTAAATGCGTGAGGTTATATTCATGTACATCAACCGGGACCCTAGCAGTGTATGTAATGTGAGGGTTGTCAATCTTCATAGTGGCTGACGACCATTTTAAATTGGAAGTCATGACATTGGAATTAACTTTCCAGGAAACTAAGATTGAATGTGATTCAGCTTGCTTAACGTAGATTTTCAGAACTTGGGTACCATCCAAGAGCGTTCCGTTCACCCGGATAGTAGCGACCCTCGTGTCAGCCCCTTCAATGTTTTGAGCAACACAGGTGTATCTCCCAGAGTCTTCAACCTGGATGTTAGAGATTTCCAAGGTGCCTTCACTGCTCAGCTTGTATTTGTCAGAGAGACTTTCGACAGTTACTTTATTGCCGAGAGGAGTGACCCAATAAATTTCTGGCTCAGGTTCTGCCATGGCCCGACAATCTAAAAATACTGTCATGCCGATGTCCAAGTTTAAGTGATTTGGAAAGGTCTCATGAGAGATCATTGGAAGACATTGTTCGTTTGAATCCTGTATTAACACTTCCTTCACCTGCTGTCCTCTGTATTCTGGAGGCATAGCGCAAAACATGGAGAGAGGTTCCATGAAACGGATATTGGTTTTGTTTGAGTTGATCCAGTGTATGACACAGTCACACCTGAGCGGGTTACTGTGGATACTGATCTCACGCAGGTTCGGAAGGGATTCCACTGTCTTTTGGTAGACTGCATTCAAGGCATTGTTGTTGAGCATCAAGCTCTCCAGGGCGGGAACATTGCGAAATGCCAAACGATGTATATAAGACAGCTTTGGGTTGTTGGTGGCTTCGAGCTTTGTAAGTTCAGGCAGGTTGTCCAGCGCATACCTATCAACAGAAACGAGTTCTCCCATATTATTGATTCCAAGCTCCTTCAATCTGAGCATGTTTTTAAAATCACCTTCTTGAATTTTATGAATGGGATTTTTGTTGAGATCCAGGAATTTTAAATTTGGAACTTTCTCAAGTGCAAGCTGAGGAACTTTTACCAATTTGTTGTCATAGAAGGAAAGACTTTCAAGACTATCCAAGCCTACCAAGGCATTGCCAGGAATGTCTGTGAGATACATACCTGCCAAAACTAGACTCCTTAAATTTGAGAGCGGTTTGAAATTCATATCTAGTATTCCAATCACTGGATTTTCTCCAATCATAAGGATCTCTAAGTTAGGAGTAGAATCAAACCAACGGCTGTCAATAACCTTTAATTTGTTGGAGTTGAGATGTAATCTCAGAAGATTCTTCAGGCCAGAGAATGCATTTGCAGAAATGCTGCTGATCTGGTTGTGATTTATATATAGCTCCTGAAGATTGCAAAGGTCTTGCAAGCAGTAGTCAGTCATCTCCGTTATCTGGTTTTCCTCCAGGTGCAAAGTAGTAAGTTGAGTGAGATTTGAGAGCCCCACATCTTTGATACTTGTGAAGTTATTTTGTGAAAAATCCAATTCTGTTAAATTAAACAGCTGTTGGAGTTCATCTGTGGTCTTTGCAATGTTGTTGCTTTGTAACAGAAGGACTTGAGTGTCACTGGAAAGGTTGCTGGGGATTTTTGTTAATCGAAGGTCATTGCAGTCAACTGTTGTGGCTTCCCTGTACGTTGACTGTGGTGTAAACCATGGCCTGATTTCACATACACAAAGTTGTGGACATTCGTTACTCTGTATGGAAGACTCAGTTAATGAATTCATTAACAATTCTAGCACCAACTGGCAAACAGTTAAAACAATTCTGCCCTTTGCCATGCTGGCCAGCTAGTGAGTTCAGCTCCCCAGCCCCTCAAAATGACAACAGATTGAGAAGGTAATTTGTTATCAAGCAGGAAACATAAAGCTTAAAGTTTAAGGTGAAAGGCTTGGACATCCAGAAGGTAAAAGATGATTTTCTGAGTTTAGAGAAGATAAGAAATGATCTGAAGACTCTCGGCTGCTTCTCTGTTCCAGAATCTTCTGCAAATCAGTGTCTGAAGATGGTCCTGAAAACAGATTAGGGTATATGTTATGCTCATCTCATGTAAAGTTCATATATTATTTAATTCCTCCATCCTTTAAAGAAAAATATCTGAAAACAATCATTATTTTAACATTCATATATCTTACAAAAATCCTGGTCTGGTATAGTTAAGTTATGCAGGGTTTGGAGCTCTCTTCTACTTGAGAAGACTCTCTGATAGTTCCCAAGTGAGTGGCTGTAACAACATATGCAATAATCTGAAAATAAAACTTCAGAAACCTTTCAGTTTTACTCTGCAATATTTGTTTGAATGGCTTGAGAAATGCTAAAGATGAAGGATATGCTTGCGAGTGCAGCTGGGTCTCCATGGAGTGTTCAGAGCATAATCCCGATGGGAGTCTGTCAGGGTGCCAGAGCTGTCCCCAGGGCTTGGATTTCAGGTGTGTGGAGCTGAGGCTCAGGAAGATGTTGGTTTATAAGTTTCAAGCTAAATGCATATGAACTCTGCCCAAATTCATCCGAGTTAATCAAATCGGTTCCAGATAAGAGCTTAGATTTAATCCAGCTAAGCATCAAACAATTGCAGTATATTTGATTAAGCGAACGTACTGTCCTTATTTTAGCTGTCTGTACTGCATTGTGCATCATATGTGAAGTGTTTATCACAATTCCAAATTACCGTGTAAACCACACAATTTATATCTTTTTAGCCTGAAGTTACTCATGCAAGAGTATGTTTAAATTAACCCAACAGTGTCCAGTGTACTTCAGAAAAATCGGTTGTGTCATGGGGTCTTTAAACACATATTCAAGGAAAATCTAAGCTCTTAGCAAAATCTTCCTCATTCTTACTTTATTGAAAAAGTAAGCTGTGGGAAACTGTTATCTGCAAACCTGTCTTACTGCTGGTGGAAAAAGCGTGTATACAGTTTGGAGAGTTTCTGTGTGTGTAAAAATGTACAATTCGGGGCCTGTGCTGTGGCATACAACAGCCAGTCTTCCAGTTCAGAAGTGTGTTGCTTTAGTGATGGTGATGCTGCATGAACTAATTTTTCTCCAGCTTGTGGTGATGTCACATGCCTAGCTGTGTTTCTCTGGGCTTGTTATGCACATCGATATTAGCAGGTAAAGTACACCTTTAAAGTACACCTTTACAATATTTCACAGTGAAAGTTAAACAGGTTAGAGCATGTGTTCAACAAGCTTTGAATTAAATACAAAGCAAGGCATGTGACAAATCCGAGTTAAGGATTTAAAGAACAGACCTCTTGAAATTCAAGGCAACACTGCAAGTCTCGCGCTCTAATGATTGCTGTTGAGTCTTCTCAGACAAATGTTTTGTCTTTTTACTAAATATAACTAAAATAATCAAGTTGCACTATATCTGAGACTGAGCACCTAACAATGATAAAATGTAATAGGAGAAAACAGGAAATAGCATCTTTTTCAATTAGAACATAGTAAAGCCTCAACCTAGTCAAAGCCCACAAAAGATGCTACCATATGAAATAATAAAATTAAATACAGCTTTTAAAAATAGTTCTAAAATAGTAATCTAGATGGTGGTGACAGAATTGCCGTTTATATAATGCTTTTACTTCAAAATCTTGTCAACATATTAAATAATGAAATGACTATTTTATATCAAAATCTGAAATAAAATAGTCATTTCATTATTTAATATGACTAATATAATAAGTAGAACACACCGAATAGCATTTTTATTTTGGCATGCTGTTATTTGTTCTGTGGTTGTCTTCTGGAGGAAGGGAAACAGGAATGTTAGCCAGAAAGCATTTGACCCTGTTGAGTTAGATTTTTCTCTCTGGTAGCTGAGACTTGAATGAGATGAGAAGACTGTGCTGGAGGGGGAAAAGACAGATGTAGAGCAAACATTCCTTCTCAAATAACTTTCAACTGATGGAAGAATTGAATAAGACATTAACTGCATTAACAAAAATAAATCTTAACCGTAATAGTAAGGAATATATTAACATAGAGTGATGGGGAGGCTGGCATAAACTGAGTTATGCTGACTTTAATGGATGCTTCTCAAAACCAACCCATTTGTAGCTGATCTAAACTAGACAGTTCTAAGAATATTGATGGTGTCCAAAGTTTAATTGATTTAATTCCAGATTTTTCAAATTACAGTATTTGCCAGGTAATAATGCAGGCAGTGATTTTATCCAGTAACCATTTCAGACAGGTCCTGGAGGTGCTTTGAGCTGCTCCCTCGCACAGGGAGAGGTCTCTGGTCCAGCTTTGCAGCCTCGGCTCAGTGAGGCACAAAAGGGAGCAGCACACCCGGGGCAACAGCCTGCACCAAACCAGATGCTGCTACAAGACACAACATTGCTCAAAATGTTCAAGCCTTCAGAGTCTCTCTTGTAACTTTTTTCTAAGTAAATGAAGACAAAGAAGTCCATGCCTTGTAAAGCTGTGGACTCTAATGATGTTTTAGTACTGATTTAGCTCTGATGTAGTTATATGAATCATGATATACTTTAAAAATGAAACTGCCCGAAAAAGACTTCAAAGCTTCTTTTAAAATATGTTGGAGCACATCTAGATTTTGAAAAAAATTCAAATTCGATCCTTCCTTTGTTGAATATTTATATCCTCTTACTTGCACATTACATTTATTTCATCCTTGGTAAGAGGGCATTTCTGGTTTTATTGACTAGAGTTCTGGGTTTATGATCACTGTAGACATATGATTTTACAAGTTACTAGTGACACTTTCTCTTCTCTAGCTATTTTCTACTGCAAATGGATTTAATTTTCTTTAACTGGAAAATGTTCTTTAGAAATGACCTGCACATTACTGTCTTCAATCTCCCCCAGCCCAGGACAGCTTGGATGAAGCTATAAATGAAAATCCAGTGTAATCAAAAAGTAAATTCTGATCAGCTCCACAGGCCCCAGTCCGCTTTAGTGCTGTGCTTATGTGAAGGGCAGCCCAGAGGCCACAGCATGAGGGAAAAGCCAAGCCATGGACTTCCACTTTAGCTGCTGCTTATGCTATAAAACCCCATCTATCGCTCTGATAAAAACTAAAGAGGCAGCCATTACTAGTGCAAAAGTGCACTGCAGCTTTTTGTATCACTAAAGAGCTATGGCTGCTTCTGTTCTGCTGTTTATCTTTGTGAGATGTTTCTCATGTTTGTAAGAAGCTGCTGGCTCTGAGCAGTCACCAACAGCTGTCCCTTTGCCCCTGGAAGTCTCAGCTTTCCAGTCTTCACAGGGTTGGCAGGACTGGTCCCAGACACCTCTGTGACATTTAGTGTCCAAAAGAATAAAATAACACCAAATGTATTGCTGGAAGACTATGTTTCTCAAATGTTAGACTCTTCTCCAGTTCTGAAGTCCTATCTAGAATAGATTTAGAAACAAAATCTGTGACGGTATGTTCCAAATAGGCAACAATGAATAATCACCAAACTCACATGGATAAACTGGGGATGGCTCATGGGAAAGTTCCCAGCTCTCACTGGAATCAGTGAGACTTAATAAAAAAAAATTGAGTGTTAGTGTGGGCCGCTTTCCTGCTAGGCAACTCAGAATTTTGCCCAGTGAGATCCTTTTTGTATTGTTATTTTTTTTTAATATAAAATTAATACAGTATGTCCCTCATAGCCAAGTGCAGTCCAAGCAAAAGACAAGTCAGAGGATCAATTCTAAAGATTTTGGCTTTTGAAGGCCAGGGAATGTTTCTTAAAGAAACACCAGATCCAGAACAGGGGCAGAGCAGTGGCTCCAGGGTTTCTGGATTAAGGGAGAATATGAGTCCTCAAAACCTTCCTTAGGACAGAGGCATATCACAAAATCTTTTTTTTTTTTTTTTTTCTGAAAATGGTGTTTAATATGGGTCATATGATTGATGGCCCTTGTTTTAATTCTGTGTTAAAAATGTCTTTTAAAAATACTGGGTAAGGAAACTTCCCCTACACAGTAAGAGGGTATTATACCTTCTTTTGGGAGATACTGAGCTTGTAAAGGATAGTTTTTAGCATTCTCTGCCTTGCCTCTCATTTATTAAATTCGTATTTTGTAGTGTACCGAACCACTACAACAGTCATAACAGCTGTTAACTTGATATCAATAGAAATAATAGTTAATTTTATGCGAGAGATATGGAGGGAATTATTTTACTAAGGGCTAAATAAATGCATTTTCCATAGCACCTCTCAATAGCCAGTGCATTAAGAAACCGCATGTCTGTCAGCAAGCAAACCCACAATGGCTCTCTGGGATATTAACTTGTTCATGTTTCTTGTGGGTAGAAAACGTGCGCATCATTCCTGTGTCTCCCATCTGGAAATGCACTGGGGAGGTTTGTATAAGGCTTCCCTTTCCAGCTTAGGTTGTAAAAACTGTTTAATACTGATAATTTGTTTGGCCCAAGAAATTGTAATGGTGGGTATTTGGTTACAGAGCAGAAGATCCTCATTTATTTCAGCTTTCCCATGGAAAATGGTGTGTGCTGGCAGCTGTAGCCTTGCTAATGGCTGTCAAGGGTTTGTCTAGTTGTTCAGGCGATCTGAAGAAAAAGTATGTTTAAGTCCACAATGCAGTAGAGGAGAATATGGAGGGACAATCATGAAATAAACTGTTCATTAGAAGTGTTCACAGTTAACTTGCCAACTAGAAAAAAAAAAAAAAAGATACTGAACATTTCTTCTTGGTAATGGGAAGACAAAATGTTGTCACTTCCTTGACAGCTATATTAATGGTCACTATTAAAAATTGCTGAAAAAAGAAACAATATAGTTTGAACATGGTTATTTGGATGTCTGTTTTGAAACAGCAATACTACAACAGAAAATCTTCTCTCTCCACAGTTAAGTAGTTCATTCTTGCGGATTTTCTTTTATATTGCAAGTAGCATCAGCACAGATTTTGGTTGGCAGCCATATGCACTAAATGTGCCTAGGTGAAAGTTTGAGGGATCAGATACATGAAGAAAATTACCTCAGGCTAAGACAAGCAATTTATTTTGTGCTTGCTGTGAGCCAGAAG